CAGCGCGGGGTGGCCCCGGCCGGGCAGGAGCCACAGCAGGAGGGACGGCGAGGCCACGCCAACCCGAAGGGCAGGGGCGCTGGATCCCCCTCCAGACAGAGGCACCGAGAATCGTCTCCACGTGGCTTCGTTCCAGCCCGAGCCAGATGCCGATGACGGGGTGAGGACACAAGGTGCAGAGCAGCTGAGCGGGCGCCCGGGGCCCGGGCTGAGCCCAGGGAGGAACCCGCCCATGGGCAGCCTTTCTCGTCTCTGCCCAGCGGAGGGGCTGCAGGGGGCAGGTCAGAGGGGGGGGACAGGTCAGAGGGTGAGGGGACAGGTCAGAGCGGGAGGAGACAGGTCAGAGTGGAAGGGGACAGGTGTGAGGGGGAGGGGACAGGTCAGAGTGGGCCAGGACAGCCCCTGACAAATGTCCACCAGCGCCTGCCCCCAGGCTCCTCGGGATGGCGAGCTGCCCGTCCTGCGCCTCCCGGGTCCTGCACACCACGGGCGCTCGGTAGCTCCCTGGGCGGCTGGGGGCCGGCTCCTGCCTGTGGGCGTTTGGCCGGGACCTCAGACAAGGGAAGGAGACTCTGCATCTGCGCCCGGGAGCCCAGCCCAGTGCCCGACCCAGAGCAGGCTGCCTCGTTCCCACCCGACCCCAGGGACCTCAGTGGGCAGAAGGCGTGGCGAGCCCGGCCGCATGGCTCAGTGGTCGAGCATCAACCTATGAACCGGGAGGTCACTGTTCAATTCCTAGTCAGGGCCCAGGCCCAGGCTGTGGGCTCGGTCCTTGGTCTGGGGCGTGCAGGAGGCAGCTGATCGATGATGCTCTTTCATCATTCAAGTTTCTCTACCTCTCTCCCTCTCCCTTTCTCCCGGAAATCAATAAAAATAAAAATATATTTTAAAAAAGAGAAGAGCCTTAACCAGTTTGGCTCAGTGGATAGAGCATCAGCCTGCGGACTCAAGGGTCCCAGGTTCGATTCCGGTCAAGGGCATGTACCTGGGTTGCGGGCACATCCCCAGTAGGGGGTGTGCAGGAGGCAGCTGATCGATATTTCTCTCTCCTCGATGTTTCTAACTCTCTATCTCGCCCCCTTCCTCTCTGTAAAAAATCAATAGACTATATTAAAAAAAATAAAAAGAGAAGAAAAGGTGTGGTGAGTGATGGAGGCAGAGGGCCAGGCCACCCCTGGGCCCCTCCCCGGCCGGGGCACCGCGCGCTTACGCACCGAACCGCTTGCGTGTCCACCAGTGCGGCTCCTTGATGGCGGAGAACTTGACCTCGGGGTGCAGCCTCAGGCGGTCGTACAGGTCGGTGGTGCCGCACTTGGGCTGCCCGATGATGTAGAAGCGCGGCAGGCAGCGCAGGCGGTAGTGGCGCCCGGCCGCGTGGGCCAGGTGTCCCCAGAAGGCCTTGCGCAGCGCGTCGAAGGTGGCGCGGAAGCGCTTGGAGTAGAGCGCGTACGAGTTGGTCAGGTAGGGGTCCGAGGTGTTGTGCCCCGTGAACTCCTCGTACCAGCACGGGCTCCTGCTGCTCGGGAGGAATTTCCTGGGGATGACGGCGAACATCTGCGGCGAGAGAGGGAGGGGGACGGACAGACGGACGCGCGTTCGGTGGGAGGCACGCTCTGACAGGGACTCACCATCAGCATCGAGCAAAACCGGTGAGGAGCCGAGGACCCTGCCTTTTCTTAGCCCAAAATTAAAAAGTAAAAAAACCTTCGGAGAAAACGGAGATGAAAGTTTGATCAAGAGTCACCCTAGCATGATTTCTCTTTCACACACATGCACACGCGCACACACGCACACACGCGCGCGCACACACACACACACACACACACACGACAGGCTAGGTAAACAGTGGGGGTCTTTTCACTGGCTGTATATTGAATGGAGACAAAAGTACTAATTAGGACAGAATGGAAACAGGCTGAGGGAGACCTAAAAAGCAGCTGTAGCCTGGCCAGGGGTGAGGGGGGGGCGGGGGGTAGAGCATCAACCTATGAACCAGGAGGTCACGGTTTGATTCCCGGTCAGGGCACATGCCTAGGTTGTGGGCTTGATCCCCAGGGTGGGGCTGCAGGAGGCAGTCGATCCATGATTCTCTCTCATCGTTGTTTCTATCTCTCTCTCCCTTTCCCTTCCTCTCTGAAATCAAGAAAAAGTATCTTTTTATAAAAATATATCCTATCCCATGTAATAAAAGGCTAATATGCAAATCTACCGAACTGCGGAACGACCAGTCGCTATGACGCACACTGACCATCAGGGGGCAGATGCTCAATGCGGGAGCTGCCCCCTGGTGGTCAGTGAGCTCCCACAGGGGGAGCGCCGCTCAGGCAGAAGCCGGACTCACAGCTGGCGAGCGTAGCGGTGGTGGTGGGGACCTCTCCCACCGCTGCGGCAGCGCTAAGGATATCTGACTGTCCAACTAAGCTGGACAGTTGGACAGCCCCCGAGGGCTCCTGGACTGCCAGGGCGTAGGCCAGGCTGAGGGACCCTCCCCCAAGTGCATGGATTTCGTGCACCAGGCCTCTAGTATATAAATAAAATAAAAAGCAGCTGAAATCGCCGTGACCACCTGTCCATCCCCCTTCAGCTGTCCAGCTGCACCATTTATATCGGAAAGTCCCTTCTCAGGTAACGTAACAGACAACTCTCTGCACACCCTGGGCCACAGGCGTCTGATTCTCCCCGTCACCCAGAGAAGTTCTTCCCAACGATGCTGACAGAGAAGCATCCATTTTCCAAAGCCCGCCCAGCGACAGGGTCTAGCGGGAGGCTACTCACGTGGGGCTCCTGCCTCCTGAGGCCGTCTGTGCCCGGGAGCTGCCGGGCCGTGAACGCGATCCTGGCCGCGATGCTGTCGATGACTGACCTCAGGCCCGGGGCGTCCTTCGCGGAGGACAGGTTGCCTGCGGGCGGCTGGGGGTGCAGCTCCTGGTTTCTAGTTATGTCTGTGAGGTTGTTTCCAGGCGAGATTGGCATTTGAATCAAGGACTCAGTAGCTTGCCCTCCCAATGTGGTTGGACATCACTTATCCACTGAGGACCTGAATAGACCAAAAGGAAGGCCAGGCTGCATCGCCGCCCCTTCCCCAAACGCCAGCACCCGCCCCAACTCTCGCTCCCGTCCGGCCGCCCCTCCAGCACGGCCAGCAGGTTCATCAGCTTCCCGTCCACGCGGGACGCGGCCCCGGTGTCGCCTGGGCAGGTGGGGCCCTCCTGGGGGACG